ACCAAAGGTTCCAGCCAACGATACAAGTTACCAAAGGCACAGGGATGCTTAGCCTTTGATGTTTGGGACATCTTTTTGCATCTAAGCAACACAAGAAGAAAGGACAAACATTGAACAACCAGTCAGAAAGGACCAGGGACAGTCCAGCTAGTTAGCGGCAGTTGGCGTTTTGTTCTTTTGGTGAGTTTCCTTGAGCTGAGGTCGTGTCTGGCTTGGATTCCTCTGGCATAAGCTGGCCTTCAGGCAGAGAAGACAGACTAGACGAGACCAAACTGTTGATCAGTGTCACGCAAACATCCACAAGACCAGTGCCATTCTTTTCGCAGCAAGGCAGTTCAACCATGTGTGAGTTGTGGGCTGCCATGTGTGAGTTGGACAAGCTTACGCGCTGTATGTATGTTTTTGTACCGCGCATATGCCTCCACGTGAGTGAGTGAGCCACGCTCAAGGTGTCCTGGATCCCTTGGTGAATTTGCAGCAGCTGCACGTCCAATTGAATTTTGGCAAAGTCCCATTCTGCCGCACTCTGAAGGTCTTTTGGATCTTCCATGGTCACATACATGCAAAACATTGTTGTTCATTTTGCGTCACAATACTTCAGCCGGTTCGGGCAAATCAGGACAGGTGGTTCTGATAGACTGTGCTTCATAGCAGAGACGAGTGGATAGAAACCGTTTTTGTCGTAGCCACCCCTGAAGCGCTGATGGCAATCCAGCAACGTAATTTGCAATACAATATAGTTTGCTTAATTTCGAATTCGAAAGTTTGGATCTAGAATTCGTGTTCAATCGTCCACTCCACCAGATTCACTAGACATTTTGTTCCAGCTGAGGAATGGCCCTCCATGCAGCTACAACCAAGTTCCAGATGCAGTGACCACAGGCACTGGCGACGATGCCTTGCAGGGTTTCCAAGTATGTATGAACTGAGGGCAAAAACAATCAAGGTAAGTGAGAACTGCAAGAACCCTAACAAGTTGCCCGCTCGCTGGGCGAATTTGTCCGCGAGGAGTTGCTAAGATGACAGAACTCAGGCAGGGTGGGGCAGCTCACAGCGCCAAGAAAAAGGTGTTTCAATTCTTGAATCTGAAGTAGAGTAGAGATTAGATTTGATTTGTGTTCGCCGGACCCAGGCTAACTCTTGAGAATCTTGGAAATCAAAAGCAGAAGCAAAAAAACAAAAGCAAAAAAACACAGCAAACCCAAAAGGCAAAACAAACAAATGAAAAAGCAAAAGCAAGAAACGCAAATCCAACAAGCAAAAGAAAGCAACTACAAAAACAAAAGCAAAAATTATCCAAAAAGCCAGAAAACAAATGAAAAAGCAAAGGCC